TTATAAAACGAAAAAAGAAGAAAATAAATACCAGAAGTGGTATAGTCTAGGCCGATTCATTTCACTATCTCTCTTTTTTTCCACTTCTCTTTTCCTTATAATTCTCCAACTCACACAAAAAAAGAGTTTCAGATTCCGAGTTCTCAAAGCATATGATGGCTTCGAGACAAAGAATGGTAAGAAGAAACTAAACAGAAACGACCAAAGCTTGAGCAAACAGTGTCTTCGGTTGAAAAACAGGAGAAAGAAACATGTCTTGTAATAATGGAATGTCTTTTTTCCCTTCAAATTTCATGATCCAAACCTCTTACGAAGAAGACGATCATCCTCATCATCAATCTCCATCTCTTGCACCTCTCCTTCCTTCTTGCACCTCTCTACCTCAAGATCTCCACGGTATTTACACACACACATACATACATGCTAATGATCTCCTCTGTTTTCTAAAGCTCTGTTTTGCTCTGTTTTTAGGGTTTGCTTCGTTTCTAGGTAAGAGATCTCCGATAGAAGGGTGTTGTGATTTAGAACCAGGGAATAACATGAATGGAGAAGATGATTATTCAGATGATGGGTCTCAAATGGGAGAGAAGAAGAGGAGATTGAACATGGAACAAGTGAAGACATTGGAGAAGAATTTTGAGCTTGGAAACAAACTTGAACCAGAGAGGAAAATGCAGTTAGCTCGTGCTTTGGGTTTGCAACCAAGACAGATTGCGATTTGGTTTCAGAACAGAAGAGCTCGTTGGAAAACAAAGCAGCTCGAGAAAGATTACGATACTCTCAAGAAACAGTTTGATGCACTTAAAACTGAAAATGATCTTCTTCAAACTCACAATCACAAGCTCCAAGCTGAGGTAATTAAATCTGATAACTTAAAACATAAATTGTTCTCTGTTTAAATCCGTAATTTTTTTTGTTTATTTTCTTTATGAAAATGTGAAAGATCAAGTTTTTTTTTTTTTTTGGTTTATTAAGTAAATTGATCTTTGTGTTTGAAATTAGTAGAAATAAAAGCTGCTTACTTTATTATTTATGAAAGGTTAAAGATTTAAGTTTTTTTATTTGGTTAATAATTATTGAGATCAGAAGTTGCTTTCAAAGTAGGGTTAATAAAACTCGACATGATTCATGACTTTTCAAAACATCATTAG